GAAATTCCTGGAGATTTGGGGGTGGAGCCTGAGGAGGACAGAGACTTCAGCAGGAAATGCCTTAGTCCAAAGCATCTATTGTCTGCCGTCTGAAGAGGAGCTGTGATTCTGGGAGACCTCCAAGCCCCACCTGGAGGCTGGCATCCCTAGCTGCTTGGTGTGAGCTCTTTATTATGAAATGGCACACACAGGGTTTTACGAAGCATAAATCTGGGCACGGTTTCCAACCGGACTGTGAGCATCTTTCTGTCCCTCTCATTTCTCTCTCTGTAAAGTTTCTTACAAGAAGCCTTGGAGTCCCATAAAAATCCTTGCCCATCACTGCCTTCATACACAGATCACTCCAACACCCTACCAACTGTCCCAAATATGCCTTATTGTATAGATTTCATTGTGTTTCTTACAAAAGATCCACATTTCTTTATTTCTTTGAAGAATTTTAATGCTTCCTATCCAGGGAACTTGTGTGAGTGTGAGTGTGAGTGTGTGAGTGTGTGTGTGTGTGTGTGTGAGAGAGAGAGAGAGAGAGAGAGAGAGAGAGAGAGAGAGAGAGAGAGAGAGAGAGAGAGAGCACGTATTGTGAGGAGGGAACATTCAGAGCTGAAATTCTCCACCTGCCATCTCTAGTGGTGCACTCCTCAGGGCTTGGCCACCTCATCCCCACCTGATTCGCCTCCCTGTGTGAACTAGGCAGGACCCAAAGAACCACAGGGGTTTCAACCTTATTTTCCCAAGCCACATAGGGAAAGGGCCAGCAAGGTGTGGTGGTTAAGAGCGGCGGACTCTAATCTGGAGAACTGTGTTTGATTCCCCACTCCTCCTCCACATGAAGCCTGCTGGGTGACCTTGGGCCAGGCACAGCTCTCTCAGAGCTCTCTCAGCCCCACCTGCCTCACAGGGTGTCTGTCTGTTGTGGGGAGAGGAAGGGAAGAAGGTTGTAAGCCACGTTGAGGCTCCTTAGGGTAGAGAACAGAGGGGTATAAAAACTTCTTCTTCTCTTCCTCTTCTTCCACATGGAGCCTGCTGGGTGATCTTGAGCCAGCCACAGTTCTCCGAACTCTCTCAGCCCCACCTGCCTCACAAGGTGCCTGCTGTGGGGAGAGGAAGGGAAGGCGATTGTAAGCCGCCTCGAGACTCCTTAGGGTAAGCACCCACTTGCCGGTTGGCCACCTACTTGTGACCTACTGCAACAAAAGTTATAATGCTGAACCTTAAATGAGGCTTCGCAAGTGCCGAACTGTGGCAGGCTAACTCCTGCCCTCGCCTTCAATTGCTCATGCGTGATCAATTGAGTAGCGGGAGAAAAATGAGAGGAGGGGGGATCATAGCGTCCACAACCTTGTAGGAATCTCTCCTCATCTCTGTGGTCTTTACCACAGAGGGAATTCCTAGGACAGGGTTCCCTAACGTGGTGCCCCGCGGGTACCATCTTTCCTGGGGCCCGTCAAGTGTTTTTAGAAAGTGGGTGGGGCCACATGGGACTTCCGCCTAGCAGGGTTTCTGATTGGCGATGTCTGAGTGGCTGTGTCAACTTTTTAAAAGTTGCCTTGGCAGCAGCTGCCATCATGGCACAAAGACCTTCACTGTGTAACTAAAGACGTGTGCACGCAAGAAAATCGTTTTAAACGATACGTTCCTTTCAAAAGGCATTTTACTGAATACAGCTTCTACCTGAACTATTGAAGAGTTATAATGAGAGTTCTGCACAGCCTCACTCTGCCTCTTGTGGCAGCCATTCTGGGGTTGCGCTTGCCACCCTGTGTCAGGCTCAAAAAGGCTGGTGATCCCTGTCCAAAGGCATTGGTGGGGGGGCTACTGTGATGTCCCCTCTGGGTAAACCTTGCAAGACTTCCATTGCCAGTCACCTGGCTGATGGCCTGTACAAGCCCTGACACCCAGGTGTTTGCAGATTATCTGGAACAGTGTGGAGGTCCCCAAAGAATGGGGCCAGGGGCAACTGCTCTGATATACCATATTGCCCCACAGGCCTGTAGCTATGGTGGGGCTTTGGGGGGCCCTGCCCCCTTTCTTAAAGGCACTGCTCCACACAAGAATTTCTCCTGTAAATGCTTTTTTCAATCATTTTAAAACATTTTATAAAGATGTGTGCTCCTTTAAGTAGAGTGGGAAGCTGCAGTTGACTAATTCCCACAATGCGCAGGGGGGTTGGAGTAAGTGACCTCTACGATCACTTCTAACTCTGCGTCAAGAAACTGGTCTCCTTTAAGAGAGTTTTTCTGCCTAAGTGTTAGCTTTCTTGACTATAGAAGTCATCACCGCCACCTGCCAGCTTGTTATCAGAAGTGTTGCTTAGGCTGGCAGAAGTGATTAACTTGCAACAGCTGAAAACAGGTTGCAATTTAGAGATCTATCCTGGTAGCAACTTTCTATTGGCTAAATGGCTTTTCCTTCTGTGCTGAGAACTTCAGGCCCCCCCCAAAAAAAAAGTCGCCCCCACAAGCCACAAAATCCTGGCTATGTGCCTGTTGCCCTAGGGGTGGCTCTGTGCATGCACTCAGCCTAACCGCTCACAAAAGTGACTGCCCACCATGCGCATCAACACCCTTGTCCTGAGCCATCGCTCTAGGTACATCCAAAGCTGCTCTGGCTGGATACAACTCTATGCTGACACATCACAGTACCTGTGCAGGCCGTTTGGTAAGGTGCTATCACCCTTCTAAAAGTCTTGGCTGCTGACACATAGGTTGCAAAATGCTCAACTGCGATCACCTTTTAGATTCTACTGTGGTATCAGTGGTTCTTCTACAACTCATCAAATGGAGCATAAAGGTGGCAGCTACGTTTGTTCAGTCAAAGACCACCTCAAGAGTCTCCCTTCTCGCCCTGACCTGGGCAATCTCGTCAGATCTTGGAAGCTAAGCAAGGCCGACCCTGGAAAGTAACTGGAAGGGAGACCTCCAAGGAATACCAGGGCTTGGGATGCAGAGACAGGCAATCAAGCCACCTCTCTGAAATGTCCAAACCCTACTCGGGGTCGCCAGAAGTCACCATGACTTCCAGGCATGCGAGCACAGAGAGAGAGAGAGAGAGAGAGAGAGAGAGAGAGAGAGAGAGAGAGAGAGACTCCCCATACACAAAAAAAAGAGTCTGCCTTCGCATCCTGCTGTGTATATGCCTGGCCTGTGATCAGGGGCAGATTAACCATTAAGCAGACTAAGCATATGCTTAGGGCACCAGGGCCAAAAGGGGCACCACAAAGTTTGGAAAAGGGTGAAAAGCTTAGTTTGTACAGTATATTGTGTTATCCTATGAATACATTTTTGTATTGCTGCAACCTGCATTGTGTATCTGGTCAGACGGGTCAACAACTAAAATGGGCTGGGGGTCAGTGTGGAAAGGAGGGGGACACCAAGATTGGTCAGTGCTTAGGGCACCAGTGAGCCTTAATCCGCCCCTGCCTATGATCCTAAGTTTGACGCACGTATTGGCCCCATGCTCTGGTCCAGTCTTGTTATCACTAACCAAGCTTGGTTTCTGAAGTTACCATCTCACCTAAAATTAAAGAGGGGAATCCTCCACTGGTCCCTAACGCCCCTAGCTTCAGCAGCCTCTAAACAAATTATCCAAGTTTAGCAGCAAACTGCCCTGAAAAAGCGGCATCTATTTTGCATGAGAAAGAGCTATTTTATCCTGTATTATCTCATTTTCCGTCTGCCTCTTGTTTGCAGCAAATGGGTAATACATCTTCAAAGTGACCGATCGGATTAAATTTGGGGTGTGTGTGTGCATTTTGCTCGGTCAGCGTTTGTCGGAACGTTTCTCCCATATTAGAAGATAATGGGGTTTTAAATCATGCACTACCTAACAGCCGCCTTATACCTTGATTATAAATTCATGCCACCATAATGTACCTCATTATATAAGGTCATTTCTTATAGAAAAGCATAAAAATATAAAACTTTCATGCAAGAACAGGCTGCTTGTTTATTAATTTACACACACAGATGAAGCTGGTGCCGATTGCAACAAGGACATACGCAAGGATTTGCACTGAACAGGCTCTGTGCTTCTCCTCGCTTCGCTTCTCACTTTCCAGAACCCGAATCACACATCTTCTTCCTTGTATAGTATCCCTGGGCCCCACCTAGGGGTGCCATATGCCTGCTTTCGGCAGGCTAACCGGGGCTGAAGCCCCCCCCTGTTCCCTGGCGGTCCTAAATTAGTAGTGGGAGAAAATGGGGGGAGGGGTCATCAATGCATCAACATCACTTCCGACTAAAACCCGGAAGTGATGTCACTGATGCGATACAATTTTGCTGATCTCTAGATCAGCAAATCCCCAAATGTCAATGACATCACTTTTGGGTTTTAGCTGGAAGTATCATCAACGAGTCAATGACATCCTTTCTCCCATGGCCAGCCCCCAAAATCTCCTAAAGTTTCCAGGCACATTTCTGACCACCCTAGCCTCACCCATTGTCTGCTCAAAGGACATTGGTCTGGGTTACTGGGCCAGATTCACTGGGTGCTTTCACTTGCAGAGGAACAAGTTGAGTACTGGTACCTGTTAAACTATATGTCCTCACACACTTCCAATCTGCAGCGTCCCTCGGCAGAGCGGCATTGTTCATTCTAAGTTAATTAAAGTCAATGGGTTTAGAACGGTGCAACTCTGTTTAGGCCTATGAGTAATTTCACCTCGCTCTAGCCCTGTAAGACCATCCTGCACAGAGTTATACCACTTGTAAGTCGCAGAGGCAGACTGACCATGTTACATTTAACACGGAACTGTTACCATGAGTGGCACCCCCGTATCAAATTCAACTATCTCCCATAACATTCCTTTATCTCATCATGGGCATGGGCAAGGAAATGTGCTTAATGGTGTCAGGTCATGGGGGGAACACATAACATTTCTGTGACAGCCTTACTGTCCAGCCTAAAGGAACCCTCTAATCTTACCCCCCCCCAATTCTACAAACAGAAAACTGGGAGCCAGTGTGGTATAGTGGACAGAGTGTGGACCTGGGCTTGGGGGAGAGACTGTGGCTCAGTGGTAGAGCATCTGCTTGGTATGCAGAAGGTCCCAGGTTCAATCTCTGGCATTTCCAATTCAAGGATCAAGCAGAAGATGATGTGAAAGACTTCCACCTGAGATCCCGGAGAGCCGCTGCCGGTCTGAGTAGGCAATACTGGCTCTGATGAACCAATGGTCTGATTCGGGATAAGGCAGTTGCATGTGTGTTCATGTGTGACTTCCTACTCTGCCATGGAAGCGTGATGAGTGACTTTGGGCCAGCCATGTCCTCTCAGCCTAAACTACTGCTCAGGATTCAGAGCAATAACAACTGGTTGGCAATCCAGTGTTCGAGCCTTCTATATGCATTACACAGAGAACCATGCAGCTTTGAGTCTTGAAATGCTTTCCTATCCACCTCCCTAAAAAAAGAAAAAGAAAAGCAGCAACACACGATCTTTGAGTTACTCTCTCCCAGAAAACTCATATGCATGTGCATAAATAAAGCCTGTAGCTTCCTTGGCGAGACTCTCACTGTGATGTGCCGATGGTGCTAACTCAGAGCAGAAAACGCTCTTATTCCAGGCCACTGCGGTGAAGTGACATTTACCTAATGCAGCTATAAATTTCCTGATAATTAGTGGGTGGCTGACAATAATGCATTCTGACGAGTGCAACGACACCAGCCTGGAACTAGCTCTCCGACATCCACAAGAACTTTGGCGGAGTTGCCAGCGCTGGGGAGCGGCACGACACCCACTGAGCCAAAAGGCTGAGCATTGAGAATCTGCTGGGTGTTCTGACCACCCCTCCAGTGGAATCCCACCTTCTCAACCCTGAAAATCCCCTACCCTCTGCAAAATTACAGTGTTCTCAATCGAGATGAAAGCTTACAAAATAGAGAAAGCTCACAGAGACAGGTTACTTCTCCACAGGGCAATTCCCTGTTCTTTCTCCCTACCACCCGCCTACCCAATCTCTGCTAGGCTTTTTGCTCATTCTTTTAAAAACTGGTAGTTTGCATATCACTATAGCATTTTAAAATTATGTATTCTAACACTATACAACCAGTAATTAAAAAAAAAAAGAAAAAGAAAAAACCCTGCTGCTGATATGTGTGGGGAAATCGTGGGAGGGAAGGGAAATTATTCAGAATTTGGAAAACTACTGCTGGTCAGGAAAGACAATACTTGGCTCAATGGACCAAGGACACAAGGGCAGTTTCACAAACTTCAGAGGTGATTACACTGAATCTTACTGTCTCAAACACTTGTTATTTTTGCTGACACTCTAGTGGATGGCCACTGAATAAGCAGACAAATTTGACAGCGGGCATTCTACAACCTAACAATATTTGGATCACCTCCTACTTCAGACCCGAAATGATTTCCAAAGTAAACCAAATGAGTTGAAGAGCCAAGTACGATAGTAGGTGACGAACAGTGAAAGGTTGTGGCATAGACACTTCAGTGAAGTTCCAACTTTTGTTTGGTATTCCATTAATGTACATTCCATACTGTGAGAGCTGGTGTGGCATAGCAGTTACAGCGTGAGACATAAGAACATAAGAGAAGCCAATGCTGGATCAGGCCAATGGCCCATCCAGTTCATCACACTCTGTGACACAGTGGCCAAAAATACCAGGTGCCATCAGGAGGTCTACCAGTGGGGCCAGGACACTAGAAGCCCTCCCTCTGTTGCCCCCCCAAGCACCAAGAATACAGAGCATCCCTTGCCCCAGACCGAGAGTTCATATAAGAACATAAGAGAAGGCAATGCTGGATCAGGCCAATGGCCCATCCAGTTCATCACACTCTGTGACACAGTGGCCAAAAATACCAGGTGCCATCAGGAGGTCTACCAGTGGGGCCAGGACACTAGAAGCCCTCCCTCTGTTGCCCCCCCAAGCACCAAGAATACAGAGCATCCCTTGCCCCAGACCGAGAGTTCATATAAGAACATAAGAGAAGGCAATGCTGGATCAGGCCAATGGCCCATCCAGTTCATCACACTCTGTGACACAGTGGCCAAAAATACCAGGTGCCATCAGGAGGTCTACCAGTGGGGCCAGGACACTAGAAGCCCTCCCTCTGTTGCCCCCCCAAGCACCAAGAATACAGAGCATCCCTTGCCCCAGCCTGAGAGTATAGCCTATCTATACTTTGTGGCTAATAGACACTTATTTTGTCTTTTTGGTGGTTGACGGTATTCATAAAACTCTCCTCCAACACATTTCAAATAAATAAACTTTCTTCCTGTCAGCTTTCTTCATGGTACATCTTTTACAGACATACATAGGAAAGGGGAATACTATGGCATGAATTAGCTTGCTATTGGTCGCCAGTGACACGTTGTTACTTGAGATGGGAACGAACGGAATTATGAACCGAAATTTGTGATGAACCAAAACCGGTTTGTGGTTCACGAACCTTGGTTCGTGCCATCCTGCCCTCACAAGCCACATAAACCTCCCACAGACCTTCCAGGTGGGTTTGTGTGGTTTGTGTCAGCAGACATGCTGGTGCCAGAGGTGGGGCTTGGAAAAGGCATTTAAAGAGATGGCAGTTTTAATTTTAATGCCTTCTCAGTTTACTCGCTGAGTCGTGCTGTGGCAGCGGCACAGCTCAGCAAGTGAACTGAGAAGGCATTTTAATGCCTTCCCAGTTGGAAGCAATTTCAGCAATCCCTTTAAATGGCTTTTGCAAGCCATTTCAGCAAACCCTTTTGCTCCCCCCCCCATGGTGAACTCGCTGCTTGGACTTCACTTGCATGCTATGCCCATTTGCAATAGACATTCAAAGGGAACATTTCTTTTAAATGGCTTTTGCAGGATCTCCCCCCCCCTTCCATTGTGCTAGCCTCAGGGGGGGCACCGCTAAAAGAAAGAAGGGAGGGAAGATCCACAAACCTCATGAATGTAATCAGTTTCCGAACCGGGGGATGTCCATCCCAGTTCATGGTTTGTGATTTGTGGGACCTCACGAACCATGCTGAACCTCCATTTCCCCAGTTCGTGCCCATCTCTAATCCTCACACTTAAGAATCTTTTCTAGTTCTTTCATAGTTACTCTTCCCAGTCTCCTTATGATTTCTTGGTTGCAGTCTCTATCTTGATTGATGATGAAGCCAAGAATTAGAAAATCTCCAACAATTTCAGTTTTTCATTGTCAACTTTGAAGCTGTGTAATTCCCCAGTAGTCATTACTTCTGTCTTCTTGATGTTCAGCTGGAATCCTGTTTTGGCACGTTCTGTTTTAACCTTCATCAGTAGCAGTTTCAAGTCTTCACTATTTTCTGCCCGTTAAATTTACACACACACACACGTATGTATTTTAAAGGCTTTAAATGTGTGAGATATTTTAATGTTTGCTGCCTTGGGAACCCTGAATTGGGTGGAAAGGTGGCATAAAAATATTTTAAAGAATTAAAATAACAATAATGATCCAGGGGTCATTTCCTGCAGGAGCGCACAGGAGCAGAGCTCCAGCAGTACAGAGCCCAGGGGGCGGGCACATGCAACAAGCCGCACCCCCTGCTCCCAGCAGCCCTCACTCAGAGCAAGAAGCAGCCAGGTACGTTGCAGAGCCCCCCCCCCGGTCCAAAACAGTGCAGTGGCATCTTTAAGACCAAGTTTTATTCAGGTACAAGCTCTCCCTCCTCTGCGAGGACAGATCTGCACGTCCCCCCCCCAATAGCTACCAATCCAGAACAGTCCAGTGGAGCCTGAGCAGTGGGTGTTCCCTTCTGACACACGTCCGGTGATGCCAGGGGGTGTGGCGTATGCAAATAAGTTATGCTAATGAGTTATGCTAATGAGCTCCTGCACCTCTTTCACTTTTAATTGACCCCTGATGATCACCAAAGCCTTATTTAACAGAAATCCTTTGGTGGATACTGAAGGATGTATGAGAGAAAATTATTCACCTGTGACTCTAATTTAGACACCATTCTATTATCACAGCCCATTGGATAAACAAAAAAACTACCACCCATTGTTCTAAGAAAGGCCATTTTTTTCGAGGAGAACTGATCTCTGTTATCTGGAGATCACTTTTAATTCCAGGAGATCTCCAGGTATAACCTGGAGGTCGGCAACACCAGGAAAGATGAAAGCACTTCTGCCTTAATCAAGTGAGGCAGTGGGATGGGGGAGGAGAGGGGCCCTTCCAGGGTGGTTTTGGCCACCAAGTTCGCCCCGGTCCCTGTTGCAGTAACACATCAAAATACATCAAAGTATCTCTAAAAAGTGGAGTATATCCTCTACTCTGTGTGTATGTGTGTGTGTGTCTATGGATTTCCCATCACCTCCTCTTTTCTCTTTTATTGACTTATTTTCAAAGTCTAAGGGTGGATGGGGGCAGGAGGGAGAAATAGTTATCAAAATGCCAAAGCTGGTGTGAACAGACTGTTGGAAAAATAAAGTCCCATTTAACGATGTGAGAACTCAGACAAAGCCGTCAAGTTAAAAGAACCTCAGAATAGGCGCGTAGGTCGTGGCATAAAAATGTCTCTATGTGCCGAATGGAGCATAAAGGGGGAGTAGGGTGTGTGTGTGTGTATGTGTGTGTGTGTGTGTGTGAAATGTCTGCCAAGGGTTAATTGCAACCCTGTACAGAAAGCAGTTAACAAGTGAGAGTCAGAACACCCAGGAGGAAAAGGAAAATTCTTCCAGTGCCATGAGAAATAAACAACACTTGGGGGGGGGGGAATATTTCCTTTGGCCACCGTTACCTCTGAGAGGAGAGAGCTCTGGGAACGCCAAGGCCCAGCATGCTCTCGACTCCCTCTGAAACATTTGTCTTCATTACCACTCTTTTTAATCAGGGTTCTTTCATGAGCGTTTCTGCCCGGCCCCTGAGGGGCGGCTCACGGCCACGATAAATCAGTTTCTCCCACCGCAAGTCACTAATCAGCACTCTCCAGGTAAAGAGCAAAGGCAGAAAGCACAGACTGCAGGAGGCGGCAAGAAAACCCGTAAGGCCTATTGGCCTTGAGGAAGGAAGGAAGGAAGGAAGGAAGGAAGGAAGGAAGGAAGGAAGGAAGGAAGGAAGGAAAAAGCAACCAGGCGGGAGGGAGGGAGGGAGGGAGGGAGGG